TATCAACTTTTAAATTAATTAATTAATATACTTATATATTATATAATTATATAATATACTTTTCTATATATTTTAAAATTAAATCCAATTCTTAAAATATTATTCTCCTTCAATAAAATGCTTAGGATCAGCTATTGAATCTAAAAATTAAATTAAATTTTTAACAAATTAAAAAATTAATTTTTTCGACATTATTAAAAATCCATTTTTTTTTTTTTTTTTTGATTTGCAGAACTAAACATATCTTACTTACTCACATATTTTTATTTATAACAATTAACATTTGTATATCTAGTTCAAAAATTAATATTTTTTAGATTTATTCACATTCATTTAAAATTATAATTTTCGAATTATTTGTATTTTGTCAAATTTATTTGAATTATTATTAAGATTTAAATTATACAGAGATTACTACTTGTACAGAGTAATTCAGCAACAATAGTGATAATTTTTTTAATTTTTTACATTTTATTAGAAGATTTAAAATTTGAATTACAAATGCTACATCTCCTGTACTATAAAATATTTTTTAATATTTGACGAATTGAATTAAAGCTTAAGCAGTTTGGCTAAATTTTGTATAGAGAAAAAGGAAGATAATAAAAATTGGAAAATAATAAAAAATTGGAATTTTCTTAAAATTCGCTTGCATTTCCAAAAAAAAAAAAAACTTTTAAAATCAAATAACCTGCTATATTTTATTTTAAGCCCTCTATAATAGCTTTTCCAATATCTGTTTGTTTGATGCCTTTATGCCTTTTTTTGGAAAAACCTAGATATTTTAAAATTTTGCTTAGATATTTTAAAATTTCGCTAAATTTTCTTAAAATTCCCGAAAATGGTTTCGATTTGACACTATGTTCCGAACAAAAATTTTACTCATTTTCGACCCCCAATCTGATGGTATATGGCTCCTAATTTATTGCTGAATTACGCTGTATAATATAATTCAACTACTTTCAAGAGTATATTTCATTTATAAATCTTTCATAATAACGTTTTTTCTTTAATTTTCAAAATATTAAAATGCTTAAAACTAAAAATACTCTACTCAAATTCAAAACTAATAAATTATTTTACATAAACTTCAATTTATTGTAAAAAATTTAGAACGCCTACTGATATGCAATTTTATTTATAATTAACATTTTTTTCATTAAACCGTAATTAGTTTCTTTAGCTATTTAAAAAATATGTTAACATTTTATTCATATTCATTTATTTTTGTTTTTTGTTATAAAGTTTTTAGTTTCTGTTTAAGAGTTTCTGTATAAAAGAAAGCTTGTTTTTAATGTTTTAATAATAATTTAAATTCGAGTGAGCGAAAAAAAACATATTGAGAAATTGTAACAATACAGTTTATTTATATTTTCACTTTTCATTTGTCAAAACTGTTATATAATCTAATTTTCAGTTTTTATTAACCATATAGAAATAAAAGTTATCATTGATGCTCAAAGTAAACCTAGATTTCAAAGTAAACTAGAATAGATGTTTTTGACAATATAGCTTAAAAATTAATTGTTTTTAATTGGAAGTCTTAAAACAAAATTTTTTCATTAAGTAATTTTTTTGTTAATAAAAATTTAATTAGATTTTACATAATTTATAACATAAATTATAACATTTTCAAATTTAAGTAAAATTCGACCATATTCACAACCATATTCAAAAACCGAATTGTTAATTGTAATATTGAATTTTTTTTTAATTAAATCTAAAGTTTATCAATACAATGTTTGGTTTGCAATTCGTTCGACTATTGAAAAACTTGCTTCGTATAAACCAAAATATCTTTAAATCAAATAATTACCGGAAACTTATACATAAGGTTTTATTTAATCAAATCCTTTTTACTATATACAATGTTCTTTTTGTCAAATTTGGTGTACCTACAATTGCTCTTTTTCAAAATTTAATTTTATTTCAAATCCACTAGCGACACCAATTTATTTCTTCTTAAACTTATAAAATGTATAAGCAACTACCTACATTAACATATTGTACCTGAATATTAATCCGCGGAATGTATATGAAATGAATTTGATACTCTCCTCTCTTTATTTTTAATTTTAAATAATTATGATTAATTTAAATTAATATAGAACACCGAATATAGAACACCGAATTGGTGCGATTACAAATTGTATATGTATATTGTATACATATTATAGAAATTAAAAAATTTTTCTCATTTCTTGTAAAAATTTTTTTTTCTCTCTCCGTTCAAGTTATTTAAACTTCAACATTAATTCAAAAAAAATTTTATAACACAATCATTCTTAAACATATTTTTTGTCGTTTTGATATTATTGCGGAAATTTGTGTTTACAACCAACCTCTTACAAATTGTTAGGGAATAATTTTTTCCTCATAATAAATTGAATTGATTGGTAAACAATAATTATCCGGAAAGCGAATCGCAAAGTGCGTTGTACAATATATTTACCTTAAAAAATTAGATACTCGTATTATTTATATATGTGCAAATTATTTTCCACAAATGATTATTGTCCAAGTTTAATAAAATTTTTAAAATTTTGACGGGAAATATCAATTTCACTTAGTGGATCGTTTTCTAGAATAACCTCCAATTTTTTTGTTTATTTTGTTTAAAATTATTATCAATTTTTTTTTGGTTATTTTTTTATCAATACATTTATTATAATTTTCAATTTTATATTTTATATTATAAATATTTTCATTTATACTTTTGAACAGAAAAATATTCATTTTCTATTGATATTTAAATAAAATAAAATCAATTTAATTACAAAATTTTTAATAAAAAAAAAATAAATTTAAAATAAAACCTTTTTTAATATTATTATTCTTTAGTGTTAATATTTCGTATATGTAGATGTTTTTTTATTATATTATTAGATAGTTATATACAAAACATACATCCATACTTTTAAAAGTAAAATATAAAATTTTTAATACCCGATTATATTTTTCATATTGTATTTGTTTTCTTTTTCATTTTGTTTCTATTTCTTTCTCCTTTTCTCTCTCTCTCTCTCTCTCTCTCTCTCTCTCTTTAGATAATTTTGATTTATAACCAAGATCGATTTAAAAGATCACGATCACTTGACTGAAAACTTTGATGTTATTATTTAAATTACTACTTTTTATATTATATAATGTATATATTAAATAAATTATGAAAATTATATTATGTATTTAAAATATAAAAAATGTGAATAACAAGAATACAAAAAATATATACAACTTGAAAAATTGCTTCAAATTAACAAAAAAAAAAAAACAAAGACAACAAAGAAACAATAAAATATAAAAAGTAAATTAAAAAAATTACTAACTGTCATTTTTGATTTTTTTTTTATGACATTTTTTTAATAAATTAATAATGTCAAATATTAAAACTTTTAAAACAATTGAACAAATTAAAATTATTATAAATAAAGGGTAATTTTTTAAGTGTTTGGCTTATAAATTAAAAAATAAAAACGATAAATTCAAATTTTTCATTTGAATCGATTAACAACAAAATTTTCGATTCGATTTTTCGATTTCATTTAGTTTTAAAATATATTTTAATTGTTGACCACAATTACATTACAAGCTCAGTTTTGAATGATTTTATTTTTATTTAAAACATTTGCCGTTATATTACCTTCATGAAATGCCAATTTCATGTTGTTCAAAACTGCCATCGATGTCATTTAATCGAGCTCATAAATGAGCTGGTTTCTTTTGAAAAATGGTATAAGTTCATTTTTTCATATATTGAGATATTTAAGGTTTTGCATATTAATCAATTTAAAAATATTGACCATAATAATAATATTTTGTTTGTTTTATGTTTAAGCAGAACTCTATTGAAATTTTGATTGTAACTGTAGAGATAACGTGTCTATAGCTCATCAAAATCACCATTAACTTAATCTTTTTATAGTCACCATTGGCATTAACTCAGTGAACTTATACCACTTTCAAAAAAACCATCTCAAATAATGGATTTCATTAAATTCATTCTTAATGACATTTCATTAAATTTTCATATAAATATTTGAATTGTTATACAGTCATTGTCAATGGAATTTGAAGTGTTTTTCTCCCATTGAGAGCATATTGAAATGAATTACGATTTGACATTGAAAATTTTGACAATATGTTATGGAATGTTAAATATAAAAAGCCAAAAAAATCAAAAACAATAAAAATTACCCGTTATTTACCAAAATACATACATACATTCTATATAATTTTTAAATGTAAACGTTATACTAGATAAATATCTCATAAAACCGGATAGTTTAGTTACAAGAAAACAAGAAAAAATTTAAAAAGATTTACAAAATAATAAGAAAAAATGTAAGAAAAAGCAAAAAAAAAAATTGTTAAATTTATTTAAATATTATTTAAAATAAAAAAAAATAAATAAACCAAAATTGTATAACGATTATATATACGCGAATAATTTTATTACAAAATTAAAAATTTAATAAAATTAATTAGAAATCGATAAAGAATTATTATTTTTGAAATCGGTGCCAATATCATTATATAAATTGTTGTTTTTATCCAAATATTACATTTAAAATTTTTATCCGAAAAAAAAAAATGTTTGGTTATTATTTTTATTATTTTATTCATAGTGTACCCTTGTTTTGCCCTTATTTATTATTTATAGAGAATTATAAAATTGATGCATCAATGGTGTCGAATATTAATCCAAGTAATTTAATTTAGAATATATACATATATATACATATATTTATTAAATTATTAATAATAGTTTTAATAAAAATTAATTAATTAAAAAAAAAAAGAAAAACAAAATTACATCATATATATTAGGTTATGGCTTTTTTTAATATTATATATATAGAAATAAATAAATAATTCTAACATATATATATATATATATATAGAAATAAGTATACATTATTAATATTATGTATATAAAAAAAAATTAAAATTTTAATTAAAATATTTAATAATAATAATTTTTTTATCAATATATTTCACAGAAAAATAAACGACAAAGTTGCTGAAATAAAATATTATGTAAAATGTATAACAATAAAATTATTTTTTTTAATTTATATAATTTTTTTTTTCTTTTATTCTTTATATAAAATAATATTTTGATTTGTTTTTTTTTTGTTTTCTTTATAATTATTTTGTTTAAATAGTATTTTTGGTATATTTAATTTTAAAAATTATATCATAAATTACATTACATAAATATAATTCTGTTATAAATATATAATATAACAGAATATCATAATATGCATATTTAAAATTTATCTTAAATTGCTGAATTTTCAATTCCACAATATATATACATATATAGATTAAAACTTATATATATAATAATTATTATATTTACAAAAAAAAAAAAAAAAGAAACAAAATTTATATACATATTTAAATATATAGAAAAACTTTATTTTATTTTATAGTCAAACAATTTAATAATAATATGCAAACTATTAAATAATATTAATAATAAAATATTGTATAACAAAATTAAACAAATATAAAAAATAAATCTCCATATCAATAATTTTTCTTATGCATTATATGTCATGGTTCCAACCAATTGAAGAAATCCGAAATAATCTAAAATTAAAAAAATTTAAATATTTTTAAAAGCATTAGTTTAAATTATTAATAACAAAATACGATTGTTTTTATAATTTAAAATATTTCTTGACAATTTTTATGAAATTTAACCTACGTCTATTGAATTTTATTCTAGAGTTTGTCTTATCATAAAATTAATTTTAATTATCAATTATCATATTACAATATTTTCAAACATTATTCGGAAAATGATTATCCTTTAAATATTAATTATGCTAAACAAACAATTAAAATATCATTTCTGATTAAAATAACAATTGATAAAGTAATTAAAACTCAATATTGAACATTGACAAAAATTGCCAAGAAAAACGTTCAACTACTTAAAGGAACCTATTTTTGATTTCACTAAATACCTGTGTATTTACACAACTGTTTTTTGCATCAAAGCTGAATAAAACTTATTTTAACCATTGATGTAAAAGTCGTCATGTAAACATATAGGTAATAAAATAATATTTATTAAATCAATTCATTATATGCAATATAAAACAAATAACATAGAAATAATAATGCAATATAATATAATAAAATTAAATTAAATATAAATAATAAAATATAAAAATTATAATAATAATAAAATTAAATCTTTATAAAAATAATATTAAAACTGCAAAAGCTAGTACCTATACATACTTATATGTATGTAATATAAAATAAATTTGCGTGTATTTAAATAAATAGTCAATTGTATACAATAGCGTGCAAAATTTATCTCAATACATACATTCATACTTTGGTCATTAAGATATATAAAGGAAAGGTATAAATACGATTATATATCGTATTTGTCATACATATTTATTTATATTATGGCTCGACCTAACAAATTATTGATAATGAAACAAAAGCTACTTTCTCAGGTTAAGTTCCAGGTTAAAGAAAAAAATCTGCACTGAATTTATTTTTATGCATATTTCGTTTCTATTTAATTTTATACCTTATTTAACCAGAAATACCTTAATTTAAATTATTATTAAAATAAAAATTCTTAAACTCTTTACATTATTCTTTACACTAATATAGGGTAAAAAACCCAATAATAATGAGCTGCATTAAGGAAAATTTTCATTTTAATTGAATATTTAGAAAATTTGCTATAGCATTATAAAAATAATTTGAAGAAATTGATTTAATCAATTGAAAAAAGAATATTTACAAAATAAAATCGGCGTTTAGATCCTTTAACAGAAAGGTATTTTGGCATACTTTTGACATATACGAGTAGTATAAATATATATTTTTTTGACGTATTACCAATTATGTTTAATTTTGCTTTTGCTCAATCCATAATTTTAATAATCAAAGTGTATCATACGTTCTTCTTATTCCATTATACGAGTATATTCACATTCTTTTTATTCCATTACGTCAAAATTTCAGCCATTTGGTGACACCTAAAAGAATCATTTTGTTAAAATTAAACGAAAAAGTGCTTATAACATTTTTTTTTTAAATGAAAATTTACACTAACTTTGTAAATACCTTAAAGTTAGATCCAATATTAGTTTAAATTATTCAGCAATTGAAATAGAATTACTGAATAATTTTTGATTTGTTGAAAATTTGAGGTTGTATACCTATGACAACTACTAACAGGGCCCGGAATTTTGCACGCTAAGTTTTATTTTAAAATATGTATGCATATTATAATATATATATATATATTTATTTTATACATATATTCTCATATATGCAAGCGAATACGTACATAAAAGAAATAAAAAATCTTACACAAGCAACTTCACATACATATATTTGTATATATATATCCCTTATATATATTCGATAAATTGACCCAGGCCTTAATAATAAAATTAAATAAAAAAAAATATATATAAAAAGCATCGCGTCGCGTAGATAGGTAGGTTTTTTTTTGTATAAAATACAAAAAATTAAAAAAAAAAAAACAATATTACAACACTCATTTCAAAACAAGTAAAAATTTATAAATATTAATGTTTTTCAAGTATATAAAATAAATTATGTACAGTATATAAAAATTATTAATTTTGTATGATTTTCCTGTATCTACATACATAAATATTGAAAACTGCAAAAATTTCAGCAAGGGGATGTGTCAAAACAGTCTATTTTTCAATCAATTATTCGGCAGATTTTTACCTTTCTATACTTTTTCTGAAGTAATTTTTACTATGAATTATTTTGTATAAACCTAAACTTAAATAAAATTTGAATATTTATGTAATAAAAAAAAAATAAAAACAATTTAGAATTTAGCTAATTATGCAAATATTTTGTTTCTCACACGGCAAATCCAACTTATCTTTGCAAATTTGAGTTACTAAAATAATAATTAAGTGTTAAAATAATTTATGTTTTATATTTTAATTAAATAAATTAATTAAAACAGTTTTGCCATTGTCTTCAACTTCAACTTGCATAATCTTAATTCATGCTACATGAAAAATTTTGACTTAAATTTACAATCATTTTTTTTTTGCTAATTATTTAAATAACAAAACAAACATTTTCCCTTTGCATATTTTATACATACATATTATAATGTTTATATGGTACAAAAATTTTTAAGTTTATTGTCTTGTGTCAAAATAACATAACGCATCATCCGCTAGTATTGTATTGTAGCCGAATTAATTTCTCTACTGGTACACAAATTATCGAATTAGTTCTTTGTTTCTTTCTATTTTGGTTATATTTTTTAAGTGTTAGCATTTTTCGATTTGTAAATTTTATATATAATTGTACGTTACTAAATATACAACAAAATCTAAGATTAAATCTATTACAAAGTCTGATAAGTGTTTACATATCAGGTCACAGGTACCGTTTATAAGTATAATAAAATCTAACATTATATTTACGACAAACTCGATTTACTTTTTACATATCAAATCGAAATAATCAGAAGAATCTCAGACTTTATGTCAAAATTAAATAATTTTGCTATAAAAATTATAATTAAAATAAAAATTAGCTAATCGCTGTTAAAAACTCCCATTAAAAATAATTGTCACCATTTTGCTCTTAAAAATGGTAAAAGTAAATCTGATAATTGTTGTCAGACAAAATCTCAAGTCAAACAGTGTTCACATAATATGACTTTCATCAGACTCAGATTTAATCTTATCTATATATATGTTATGTATATAAAATAATTTCTTAAATATGTTCTTAATTTTTTTTTCGTTCTTATATATGAGACGCTTAATATTCAATTCAATCAATTTCATATGCAAATGTACCATATAAAAACTATATTTCGTTTATAACCCAAAAAAAAAACAAGCATCAATGTGATTACAACCAAAATATAAAAAAAACCCAAAATAAAAATTAATATCGATTTAAAACAAAAAAATAAAAATTTTAAATAAAATATATAATAAAAAAAATTATATATAATTGTTATAAAATTATTAAAATTATGTTAAAAATTAAATAATATTAATTATTATTAGATTATTATATAAATAAAATAAAATAAGTTAGAAGAAACGCATATAAAAAACTATAAAATAAATTAAAAAATTATATAATATACTCTAAAAATTACGTGCTTTTTTATATAGACATACATACATATAAGTATATATATATATATATATATATAGAAAAAAAAATTATTACATTTCATATAAATTATAAGAGAAATTAAATAATTTTATTCTAACTTTTTATTAACCATTTATAATTATATAAATTATATGATTATAGAAAATAATATAATAAATTAATTATTATGAAATATACACGTAATACAAGTAATATATACATATTTATAATATGAATATATATATGTATATATAAATACATATTTATGGTCGATAAATGTAATTCTAATTATATATATAATTAAAGATATACATGCAATTATAAAAAAATACATATATATATATTATATTATTATATAAATGCACTATGCTTTTACCTTTTTTCTCTCACCACAATATAATTATAATTATAATATAACAATAATATGTATATAAGATGTATAGTTAAATATAAATAAGAAAATACTCACTTATATATGTACGTATATATGAGTACACAATATCAATAAGCTAATAAATTTTTTCGCTTACACAAGCAGCAAGTCAATAAGTTCGAAACGCATGTTTTCTATGTGTTATTATTAAAAAATATACTTATATTTAAAAATTCATCGAATATTGTCGATAATTAATAAAAAATAAGGTATTAAGTATTCGAATTAATGTTTTTCACAAACATTAATTGACATTTTTCAATCAAAATCAATCAAATAACAGACGAATTAAACGAAACCTTAAAAATATTTTCTTAATCATATTATATGCATATAATTTATCTATATAGTACAGACACAAAAACAATAGATATAATTATATTTAATAATATAATTTATCTATATACATAGACACAAAAAACAATTTTATATTATTTTCATTTTACAGAAATTTAAAAATTTGTTATGCTTATATTTTGTGAGACTCCTATAATACAAATAACAAAAATATTTTATGTATATATTATAATATATTATTGTAACATATAACAATTTATAAAATAATTAAATATACATTTTTTGTACTTTTAAATACATTGTTATTATTATTATTAATATTACTATTATTATTATTATTTTAAAATTTCTGTATGTTTATTATAATAACGTCTATTATTAAAAATATGTATGTATAAACTTAGTTTTTATCAGTTTATGTATTTTT